TAAAGAGAGGTGGTACCTGTCCACTACCAACTTTTATCGGGAAGTACCATCGAGAGAAGAATTTTGGCCTAAATAAATTCGGCAAGTGTTGACAATAACACATGTACCAGTAGTGATCAGGAACCCTATTTCTTCCTTTCATGCAGGTGGAAAATAATTGAAAAATAATGAGTGTAACTACACGAGTTCCTCGATGTTAATGAGCTCTCGCCCTACTCCACCAGCTGATCTACTGGGCATCCAGGGGCACAGCTGTACTCACGTCAATCTCAGCAGGGCTGGATCTGTTTTTTACTGAGGCAAAAATATGAATTTAATGCACCAACTTTGAATTGAAATATATGCTCACATCACAAACGTGAATCACTTAGATGTAATAGTCAACAAAAAACAGAGAACAACCATACGTATAATATTACGGCCTAACCTATAGCGACGAAATAAATAAATTGCTGGGTATTGAAATTGAAGTTTCCCCTTCTTTTTATCCCACGAATAGTATATCGGACAATAATTTCTCAGCCAAAAACATCATGAAAATCAAGTCCAAAACATCACGCGCCAAAAAATCTCAATACAAAAATATGCCACTAACGCGCTCAAAATAAAGAGATCTGAAAAATGTACGACGATCAACAAAGGAAATACCTACATAAAACGCCGAAGTAAGAGAAGTTTCTGTATGAGATTTCATTTGTCGAGATATTTTTGTCACAATAGTACACTAGGGATTTTGAGGGAGTAAGCTCCGGGCTTAGGAGCGCCCTCTGCCAGAAAACCAATTACTCACCTGGCTAATACCACGATGAGTATTGGATTATATCTGATGGACTTTTGTGTTTCATCACAAAAACAGTCTTACAGATACGTCTTCCGAATATTTTTCAGTAAAAGCGTTAGATACGGGAAAACAAAGATTTCAGAAGTTTCTTTACACAAGTATCTGTGATTTCCATCACATTCTTATGTCATATATTGTATGGTAGTCTCAGTTTCCCGAACCCTTTGAAGATTCTATGTAGATATGGGGATGAGTTTCGATTTTATGGTCAATGGCAGACCATTTTGAATGACCCACGTTATAAAAAAAGATTTTTGAAATGTTTTCAAAAACATTGGTGGATTTTTTCAAGCTCTGTCTACTACTACAACCTTCTTCTGCAAATATTTGGGTATTGAGAAAGATGAAATAATATCCATAAAACTGCCAATACAGATATATTTTCTACAAATAATAATAATAATTTTTTTTTCAGGTAGCAGAAGAAAGCCAGCTGTTTCAGGAGAATCTAGATCGAAGAATTACCAGAGGCGACGTCCGTCAGAAGATGAATTAGAAGAGGACGAAGGCATTATTGATAGGCCATCATCTGCGAAAAAGGAACAACGAAATAAACAAACTACAGACTCGCGAACAATCATAAAACCCGTCAGTGGAACAGTGTACGATCGTCCAAGATTGGCCCCTAGAATCAAATTACCCGTACCAAAGAACGAAGCTAAGAAATATGCGTATAAACCAGAATCGTCATCTGAAGTTGCATCAGAGGATGTTTTGGAATACGATGACGACTACGAAGAAGTGGAAGCTGTATTTAACTCGAAGAGGAATAAACCAAGTAATGGAGATAAAGTAGAAATAAGCAAAAATAGCCGAAAACAAGAGAGTTCTGCTCCTCGTTTTGTTTCTAGAAAACCCACTGAGAAGACTGAGAACCGGTATGATTCACGGCAATCGCAAAAGAAGAAACCTGTTATTGATGATTATGAGAATTACGAGTACGAAGATGATCAGCCCGTAGTATATGCGAAGAATGAAAGAAAAGTTAAGCCAACGTCAACCAAACCACCATCTACTACGACAGCAACCACCACAACCACCACCACGTCTACGACAACAACCACGACAATGGCACCGATAGAAAAACTAGAGCAGCAGCCTCTGATAAGGTTGGTCAAGAGACCGTTTTTACCTAGTAGAGGAGGTAACCCCTACTTACCAAGAGGCCTCCAGCCGGTGGGTGCCAGGGTTTTGACCAAGTCGAGGGGAACAAGCAGTGATTTTGAGGAGCAAATAGAAAACATCAATAGACAACGAATATACGATGATTTCGCACCGTCGACAGTTAAGACAGAGGCTCCAGAGTCACCAGTGAAAACAATGTTCTTACCATCTGATGCAGTAGTAGATTTCCCTGTTAATTCCGACTACAGACAAAAGTATATGACTCAAGGGGTTTCTGTTCATCAACCGAAATTTTCCCCCAGGAATCCTTTGGATATAGACATAGACGAATACGATGTTACCCTCAATGACGCACTGAATCCGACTCTGCCAAATCTGCCAGTCAGGGGATATCCCTCTGGGTTTGACGTAAGGAATGATTACACCTTCAGTAATTTCCAGAGGGGCAGTTATCCCTCTGATCAAGCAGTGGCCACCGCCAACACAGGGTACAATTTCAAATCTAAACCTCCGGATCAGAGGCAGAGGTACGAATTGCATTCTCAAGTTGCCCCCAGTGAGGAGTTATATAGTAATGCAAATTATAAAGGACAGCTCGACCCAATGCGTGATAGTTACCGACCCAGGCAAGCACAAAACACACAGGCTTTCTATCCAGGATATTAAAATTGCTCAACAGCCATACTGAATTAGGATTTATTTAATATTAGTTGATAAGAAAATTGTAAAATTCCTAGAATATAGTAATAAAGTGTATAATTGTTTATTTTTCCGTGGTTGTGACGACAGTAATTCAGTTTCAATTAAGTTTTTGTTCCACCTTTCTTCAAAACACACATAATCTATAATTTCTAGTTTTGCAGACACTGAAAATTTAATGAACGGTGTTTCTGAGATAAAATTTTGGACATAATATTCTTTTTGAAAAACAGTATCTGTATGTGATGTTTCAAACGATAGTGACATAAAAGAAGGTCTGTTAGACAACATAGTTCATCCCTGCTGTAGTCTAAGAATTGTTTGGTAACATACTTTAAGGGATGTATGAATATCTTCGAAACAACCAATCCTAATGGATTCTCCAAAAGTCTCAAACTCTTCTTGCCGTCCAGTTATTCACTGTTTGTTTGGCAAAGCCTAAAGCGATGCAAATAGCAGATTCTAGTCCGACTAAACTACTTGTAGCACCTCCTTTGGATCAGTAGCCTCGTTACCTTCCAGGCCTGTGGGGGTCAAGCACCCAGACCACAGATATTTGTTCAGTTTCTTTTGACAGTTCACTACCAACTAAGGGATTATTCGGTGAGAGACAAGAGCTTTTAGGACCGCTTATGTGTCCTTGGATATTTCATTGACTTATGTATGAGGTTAGTTTCTGCCAGTCTTCACACACAAATCAATAACCTTAATTTTCGCTTGAATTACAGTCTCTAGGCAGGTTGATATTTCTGACCTGCATTCAGACCAGAAAATAGAGGTGTTTTTGATCCATCTGTGAACCAATATTTCTTCCACCGGGAACAGGACCGTATAAGGCAGTTCGTAATTGACAGTTGGAGTAGGGGCCATCTAAGTAGTGAGTGAGCATTTGAACAAAGTCAAGTAATTTTTTACGGAGCTATCAAATTCAAAATTCAAAAACCACTTTAAAGGGTATCAAAATTCGATGAGTCTTTGCATTTTCCCGAAGTGTAGACTCTGTCCTGAAAACGGCTATGTTTTGTTTATCTTGAGCTTTACAAGTCGTCTAAGAACGTTCAACTTTCCCGTTCAACATAATATTCTAAGTTTTTGAGAAGCTGCCATTCGCGGTTCTGGCAAAATGATGTTTACATCTTTATAATCGGATCTGCACCATTTCCCGTATTAAAAAAAATTCAAAAGAGTGATATTCTTGGTATAAAATTATACCAATTATATTTTCATACAATTCTTCATCGAGATTTAAAACTTGTTCTCGGAGGGGATAGACGTCGACAAGTAATTTTTGGCATACCTGTGAAATTAAAAAAACAAGTGTGCTGTTGCCACCCAACGCCACCTCTAGTGGATTTTTGGTCATTTCCAATTCGTTATGATCGTTTGATAGAAAACGGAATGGAAACAATGAGGACCCTTGTGGCACACCAAGGTTTGATGAGAGAGAGAAAACTATTGCTAGCCACTTTGTAAGGAGACGGCACTGTAAAAACCTAAAAGCCATGAATAAAAACTCTCTTCCAAGCCATCACATCGAAGTTAATTTGTAAGCGCTCATGGCGAAAACGAACAAAAGCTTGACATTCAACGACTAGCCCAAGACTGTCCATAACTATATAACTATAGAAAAATAATGTAAAAAAAACAGTTCAATTTTGCTCTCCTACGTTTCATTTGCCTTCACAGTACCTCTGATCTCTTTTTATTTGTCACCCATGTTTTGTCGTTGTTGAAATATTTTTTAGTATACCTCTTACCACCGAAAGTCGTTTCAAAAACATAAAAACGAATGAATGACGTCATAATATGGACTAGCCATTGAAGAGAGAACATTGACTCCAACAACTAAAAAAAGATGAAGAGATTCGCGTCTTGGCAATAACGTCACTCACACACTCAACGTCAGATACGTCACAATGTTTTACGTTTGCATATTTCCATTGTGATTTGATTTTTCACATGTGATCCGCAGGTGGAATATAATATGTAAAAGTGACGTCTCGGCTAGCCCATGCAGTAGCCAGAACAACTCGATTTTTTCGACGTGAAACGTAAAGCAATGAAGCCGATAAAGTCATCTAGTACAAAGACCGCAAAAATTATTGCTGCATTCGCTTTTATCGACGTCGCGATAGAGTAAACAAAATTAACATACAGGGCGTAGGGAAACAACTGTAACATGGGTTTTGATACACACTTATATAGCCCTCTAGGAAGTAACCACTTGGAAAATCTTTCTGCCTGGTAAGAGAACCATTAGCCTTCAGGTTCTATTTCATCTAGTTACCTAATATATGCAAATTTATTGAATTCTACCATACATTTTTGTTTCCAGGTATATCATCATTGCCTCTTTGGTAGGAGATATGACTTTTTATGTGCCAATTACACAGCATTTGATCAAACCCTTTTCAACTGCAACTTCGTATCAAATGTCGACTGCGTTAACTCGAAAAAATTCTGGAATAGGTAAGTTACATCAATAACAGAACTTGAAGGTAACTTGTGATATACAATCTCATAAAAATTCCATAGTTATTTCCTCGAACGTCAGTAATACGTTGATGAAACGACGGGGAGGGGTCCCATCAACAGTACTGAAAACAAACCAAACATTACAATGAAAGATACTGTTGAAATATTTCTGTATTTTTTCAAATATCCAGGAACGACGAGCTCTACAAGACCAAAAGTACGACAGCAGCCCCCGTCAATTACAACTTTTACACCACCACGTCTTCCCCGGCCTACGTCTTAACCCCTTCGCCCGTACAACGAACTCAACCTGCCCCAGGGTTCGCCCCTTTGCCCGCCGGAGCCCCCATCGAACCGCGAAGGCCTGTAGGTCAGAGAAGGCCCCAACCTCCGCCTCCGAAACGGACACAACAATTCGAATACTACGACGAAGATGACTACGAGGAGCAACCGAGGATGGTCTACAGAAGAAAGAGGCCTCGCCCCAGACCAGTTTATTACGACGATGACTATGAGTATTACGACGAGAGGAGTATTAGGAGAGGAGGAGGCCGCAGGAGGAGGCCGTACGAGAAGAGGCCGATGAGGAAAAATCAGAGCAGGAGAGTGATGTATGAAGACGATGATGACGATTATCGGTTTGAGGAAACCGGTAGATTCGAGGATGATGATATACTTCCAGGTAAAGATACCAGATAGTTCTCAGTAATAATAATCATAATAATGCCACGGCACTTTGACGGTGTTGACTTGACACCGGTGTTGCCCTATGCTCCGTGGGATATTGAATCCGTTGTGTGGGATAAGAAGTGCCAAATTGAGGACTATTGATTCCTCACCACCAGGCTCGGACAAGCTAATAAGCGTGATAATTCTTCACGACCATCAAAAGAAGACGATACTGGTCGTAGAGACAAATATCGTCTGAAAAGAGGAGGGAAAACGGATGAAACATTGAGATTTTCTCATATCTCCACAGAATTCATCCAGACCACTCAGTTGAGATGGTTGTTCTGATTATTGGAGTCCTCGGTGGAATGATGCCCTGTCTACTCTCAAATCTCAAGATCATACCGGCTTTTGCCGCATTAAGGCAAAAATATGGCGTCTACGTCATGATTCTCGGACCCATTTATCACCTTCCTCATAGTTTAGAAAATAGTTTTGATGATACTGAAATATTCACATTTTTTTTCTCATTTCCAATACGATTTGATTTTGATATCTGATAACGAAATGTATTTTCCAGGAAGAATAGATCGAGGCAAGAGAAAACAGCAAAATCGAAGGGAAGGATTCGAAAAAAGACGAACCACGGCAAAACCCCTCAGAAAACGACCCTTCGATGATGATTTCGAAGACGACTATGACTACATCTTAGAAAGTAAAAGACCAAAGCAGGAAGAGTCGCCGCGAGCGAAAGCAGATCCGAAAAGAGTTCAAAAAATGAACATGAAGCGATATCTGCCCCCTAGCCTTGAATACGAAGACAACGCAGAAGAAACCCCGCGACTCAGAAAAAGCGAGAGGGATACGACCTCTAGAAAGCAAGACGAATCCAGAGCGATTATCAAACCTACAACTGGAACTCTTTACGATCGGCCAAGGGTAGCACCAAGAATAAATCTACCAGTACCGAAAAACGCGGCCGACAAATTCGCCTACAAATCGATGAACTCTGAACCGCCAAGGGATTTGGAAGAACCAAGTGACTACGAATCTCGAGAAAGTAGTTCAGAAAGCACAACCACCACCACGACAACAGGAAAACCATCTAGGAGAAGAGCTGCTTCGCTTAGAAGAAATGGAAGTCGGGGCGAAACATCCAGAAATGCGAACAGTTCCGAAAGAACTCTCAACACCAAAGTCAGCAACGATAATATCGAAACTGCTCCTAGAGACCAAGAATCAGCTGAGGATGAGGAGATCCAAGAAAGACGAGCCGACAAAAAACAGGCGCCCGTTATCGTAAAGAGTCCTCTGTCATCAGAAGAGGACTGTCCCGATTGCTCCAGAGAAGAGATCCCGCCAATTCCGAAAATCGTCAGAGGCAAACCGCAAAAGCAAGGGAAGCCTCGCGTGTCCGTGTTCAAAACACCAATTAATTCACAAAGGTACTATTCGTCCGAACTTGACGTAACGGAAAAACTCTCCCGTCAAGATATCCTGGAAGGAAGTTATGACGAGTCGATTAATGAAGCTTATTAGGCCTAGTTGTAGGTCGTATTTTCACGCAATCACAGAACTACAACTTGATAAATTATCTTTACCAGTGTATCGACTGACCTACCAATATATTTTCCGATTAGAGAAATAATTATTTTTAATTCAATAGTTTAACCTGCAAAAGAAACATGTGCTAGATATATTGCTTTAAATTTTTTATTCATATCGGATACCTATCAAGTAGGAATCCTTTTTGATACACTATTCAAAGACTATTCAGTTACTTTGTTGATCTCATTTGAATTTTTAATTGCCCCCAATTCTATACCCGAACCTACTTTCGGATAAATGCTTCAAATATGTTCATTTCAAGGTGTGTTAGAAGTTTTGAAATCAATAATATCTGTAAAAATAGAATTGTTACTGTGTCCGAATATCTCATTAAAAATCAATGTGGATATTATTATAGTTGTCCAACTCATATCTTGTTCTGTATTGTACCAAATACCTCGTTTTTGCCATCAATAAAAATAACGTGGTAACAATGTTGTTTTATTGTCAAATTCCTAACATCTGTACTGACGGAAGACCTTCGAAGTATGCTAAGTTATAGTAACTCCCACCAAGGGTCTCTGAAACTTTCTAGTGATGAGTACTGAGAAATAACTTTCATGACCGCTGTTAAAATGTCAATAGTAGCACTGTTTACTTGTCACAAATGAAAAAAATGACACTGTTCAATCGTCATCATTAAACTTACTCGAAAGCACTACTCACAAGTAAATTGGGAGTGTAATTATACAATTTTCACGCGATAAATTCAATTCAAACGCATTTCACTGCGTCCCACAGATGAAACTACCGTCTGGTGAAAATTGTATAAATATTAACCAGTTTAATTGACCTTAGCTACAAAAACGTTCAGTCTTAAAAAAGAATTAACTTGTCTTTAGTTAACTTTTTACTTACCTTAGATATTTACCTCAACTCCTCCTTCTGCTTGTAAATACATAGTTCTGATCTACATGGACTGTTTAAAAAATAAAGTGAATGTCCAAATTTTGCGGGCCCCGTACATTCGATTGACGTTTTTTTATGTTGGTATACTCGTCTCGAATACATGTTTACAGTTTCAGCTGGTCAGCATGTTTAATTTGTTAGTGTTTATAATCAAATTAGTATTTCCATTATGAAATTGAATCAATTATGTGCCCAGTGATAACTGAGGATGGTGTGAAGATATTTTATCTGCAATCAGTTTTAAGGTAGTTCCTAAGAATAATAGTACGAAGTAACTCAGAAAACATTACAGAAAATTCAAATGCTCTATATTTGATATCAAATAGACATACATAGATGAATCCAACGAAAATGCATATCCTATCTGTATCTCTAGAGTAGGAGGGTGAGTATAGGCCCACAGCACTTAGGCCACATGTTACCCACATACCCCAGAACGATTATCGTATTCCATCAATCAAGATGGCGTCATGATTTTCAGACAAAACTAGCCATTTTCTCTCTGTCTTTTAAAATTGAAATGTTTATCGGGACTGGATCAATAACGCAAAAGTTTAGCCAGAAAATAAATGAGAAGAAGAAGATAAATTTGAATATTTGGCGGGATTATAAACGTCATTTTGAATGACACAATGTTCGTTTTAGATTATTGTGATCTTTAAAATAAAAATTAATAATGAATATGATGATGGCTTCACCTAATGAAATAAGTGACGGCAAACAGAAAACAACTGCATTCAGTCTACTCCAAGAAGAACTACTCAATGGGTGTATTTTAAGTTATAATGAAAATCTTGATAGTATTCTAAAACATGTAATTGTACCTCAATCAATCACTGAATTGACCGGGTACCCTGGATCAGGAAAAACACAAGTTTGGTAAGACTTCATTTCCTGTACCAAAACAATTCGTTATTTATTTTTGCTACAATAAAGGTTGTTTTGTGTTTCTAATGAGAACCATTTTGTCTTGAGGAAAAGTTTAAAAACTTACGGAAAACGAACGACGTCAATCCTGAAAAACAAGTAGTATGTCGCTATTCTATTACATATTCTATCTGAAAGTGTTTCAATGTCCTAACTTTCTGTTCCAATTGAGGGTCAATCTACACTGTGAAACCAATCTCAATGTGCTCTTGGTATGATAAAATATTTTTACAGAAGAAACAAATAACCTAACCACACTATTGCTACTGCTTAAGTTTTGGTTCCATGAGGTTCCGATACAGATGGATTTTCAAAAATATTTTATAGGAGTGATATCATTCTTCTATCAATTCGTCATGGTAGTGAGATTACGTTTCCACTCCATTTCCCCGTTCAGCTAGTGCTTTGCTATACCATCAACAAGTGTGTGTGAGATACAAGAGTATTTACACAAATAATTTTTTATATTGTGAATTTTTGAAAAAGATCAATATATAGGCATTATAAATAAATTTGTATACAAGTTTATGTAGTGTATTTTGAATTCAATGTATTTATAGAGAAAAATGTTGGTAAATATAACTGAATGGAAACTAAAAATGATAGGCAATTGATTGATTTTGAAAGGCTTCATTTGTATCATTGATTTTAGATTATTGATTATTGTTAAGAGTGAGCCAGGGCTATAAATACAATTCAAAACACCACCAAACATCAAACTAATGAAGAATATCCATATATGTTGTAACACAATATAAATTGAAAACTGCACATTTGAATATTACAAATATACTTAATATTGTGATAAGAGTATATAAGTTGAGTGTAACTCTTGAATACATTTTTCAAATCTAGTCTGTGGAATATTCCATACCAAATGGATTACATAACGTTAAATTTGTTACCTAAGGCATACCAATAATTTCTGCAGAGGAGTGATATACATATGTAATTCTTCGCTTGAAAAGTGCATACCTATTACCTTTAACGCCAAAAACTCATTTATGAATTCAACTATTTGTGTCTATTTTGTGGCGGAGCTCAAAGTGTAATATAAGAACAAGGAAATTTTATCAAACCGAGCACGAACCAAAAGCATATGGACCATAATATGTATCCAACCATATTTATTTATTTAATTATTTACGGTTTGTAAGCATATAAATAGTATGAAAGAAAAATTAACAATTGGACAATAATATAGAATACTAAGAATACAAAATATCAATTATTTATTAATAATAATCAGCAGTTTCTTCATAGTAGGTTAATACGATTAATCTGATGTTTGAAAGAATATAAGCAAGAATCAAATAAATCAATATATATGCTATTCTTATTTGCTAGCCTAAGCATTCTGGTAATGAATTCATTCAAGCCATAGCTAGTAGAATGGTAAGTAACTTTGAACAACTCCATCACTCTGGTTCTTCTTGAATTTACATTGAAGTCAATCCGTTGCGTTACATATGGACAGTTCATTTCACCATTTATAACTTTATTGTAATCTGGTTCAGTGTCACTATCTTCTTGCAAGTTGATTATCATGTCGTCTACCATGAAATCTAATGTTGGTTCCTTTTCCATGAAAAACTGTTAAAAACTTTGAGCATGCTCACATCGTTTTTTCCACTCAGTTAAATTTACGCCAGTTGCCATAGCAGCTCTTTCTTGAACTTTTTAAAGTCCTATACAGGTTTATTTTCTGCCGCTTCTCGTTGCATAAAATAAATTACATAGGCTATGACTTACCTCGATTGGTTTGTCAGCACTTCACGATTTAGGTTTGTTTTAAACTCCATCCTGGTTAAGTAACAATAATCAAATTGTACCCTTTACGCTTTATTTCTGCTCGGACTGATCTTACGGTTAACCCGCGATGCTCCCTTCACAACAGACAAATTCGACTGACTGGGCTGTGGGCGTTTCCACTCCTGTCTTCTGTGCACAGCTAAGGCGGTCTCAAATTAAGATTTTGAAACTTTTTCCTATTCTTGACAAACTGTACTTACATGTATTGAATCTTCCTAGATCAATCCATAGCTATAGGTCAAAGTCTGTATACTGTATACTGATACAGTATACAGTACTGATATACTATGTTCATCATGTGCTATCCTTGTTAACTTCTAATCTACGGTAACACAATAAAATTTGTTTTCAAGGACTTGTTTTATAGACCTGTGGTCACATTTTTTCAAATCATACATTGTGTTGAAAACGTCATTATTAATACTCCTTTTTAATTGCACCAAAGTGAAATTGTACACACACCTATTGGATTTTTCTACAGATAATTCAAAATTATCCTCAGCTATCATGAGTCCATCTGTGTCATCTGAATGTACTATCACTTTACTTGGATAAGTATGAGAGTTATGCCATTCATGAATATAATGAACAACAAAGGATATAAAATCAATGATTGAGATACCCCCATTGTTACGTTCACTGGGACTAATTCAACAGTGTCAAATATGTGCGTTTGTTTTTCTAAGTGAAGCTGGTTGATACAATAACTTTCTGATTTGTTTAACAAACAACTGCATTTTCATTCAATGCAAAATAATGATTGTGCCCTAATTCAGACTTCTNTTATCAATGAAGAAATAATTACGTCTCTTTTCACATAATACTTAAGTGCGCTGTGAAAAATTCAATGAAAATCTTTTTATATTACACATATTATCTGCATTTTTCCCGTTAAACTGCAAAACTTGTGCATTTCACTCGTTATTATAAAAAAGTTTTCCTAAGTATGATATAGCATTTGCGATCAACAAGATGTTGGTTCTGAATACGACCCTGGCCAATTCTTGGGATTTTCAATATCACGTGCGTAGGGCAGGTCAATGTTTACATCCACTCCATCTTGGATTTTGATTTGCTTCAATTCCATAGTGCCTTAGACAATTGCACTATGGAATTAAATACCACAGTCTAAGTAGTTTTGAATCGTATTCAAGTTACTAAACCTAGCTGATAAGAAGGTACCCTATTCGATATTGGTCCAAGTGTACCACAAAGATCTCTTCTTGGGCCAATCTTGTTCCCCTTATACTTATACTCATTAATGAATGGTGTGATGCTAATTGATTTCAAAAACTACAACTCACGATTTGATTTCCACAAACTTTATTTGAAAAATATATCACAACATGTTTCGTGATTTCAAATCACTTGAGAAAGCTACCGTGCTAGCGAAACATGTTGTGATATATTTCTCAAATGAATTTTGTGGAGATCAAATCGTCAGGTGTAGTTTTTGAAATTACTATGGATCTTCATCAAGTAACGGCCAAATCAATCAGGAAACTAATTGATTTCCTTGCGAATTAAAAACCACCCTTTCAATATTTCACTGTATATTTTTTAACCTTCGGAATTGACAATTTCATCACCTGATGCTGTGAAGTAAATTTTGATAATGATTTCAAACTTGAGTAAAATTTTTTCCAGATTATTTGTATGGTATCAAAGGAAAAATTGCGTACCATGTCTTATTGGTGCCTATTCAAGGAAGAACCTAAAGTATCCTGTATGTAATTATTCAAAGAGCTTCAGATTCTTACCATACCATGTTTTGTTCATCTAATATATAAAAATGTATGTTGGTTGGTTGGTAAGTGATTAACTTCTACATCGCTCAACCGATCGTGATGAAACCTGACATGTATATGTAATTTTTCATAGAGAAGGTTTCTACGCTATCAATTTTTCTGTAACTCGCCACTAGATGGCGCTGTAGATTATTTTTTAGAAAGCACTGTTCTATAACGCTGCGCACGCCTAAGTTCGTTGATTCTGATTCTGTCAAAACATTGGAACAGCAGCGATACAGCAACATAGTACTAGTCTAATATATATAGTCTAGTCCAATATATATATTGGAGAGTGGTAATATTTTTAATTGTGGAGTTGGCCGCGGTGGTAGTGCGTCCGACTCACGATCGGAAGGTCGTGTGTTCGATTCCCACCTCGACCAGATATTTTTCTCGAGAGAATTTATCTGGTTGAAGCTGGAATGATTCTGCAACCGTGTTAGGAATCACACGTTAAAAGGTAANTTGATAATTTTAGGTTTTTTTCTGTTTCATCCTGTTTCTCTTTATTGCTTCTCTTATAAAAGAAAACGTCAACCATATTAGACAGAGAAATATACAAAATTATTTAATTAAAATTGAAGTATACAGAAAAAAAAATTCACAAAAATTTTTAGTGGCTAAAAAATCATCAAGACAATAAAAACATTTATCCACTTAAAATATTTTTTACTTTGAACTTAAAGGTACTCTTAAGCTTTATTACCGAGAAAGTCAGGTAGCTTGTTATAAATTTCACCACCTTGCTTCTCTATCTCAGTGGGGTCTAACTAATGATTTTTTTGGGTTCCAATCTCATCTACAGGATATGTCAAATCCTAGAAAGAGATATTTAGTATGCCTCAGTAAGTTGGAATCATAAGGAAAACATTTTCTGTTAATGTACACAAATTACAGTTGAATTTTTGTTGTTATTGTGAAGATAAGTTACGAAAAAAATAAATATATTATTCATTAATGAAATTGTATATTCGAACGGGATTTTCAATTCTGATTAACTTTTTCAAATAATGATTTTCGATATTATCAAAAATGAAGGTAGATCCTCGACTGTTGAGCAAAACTAATATTTTTTGTCAAACCTAGTGTACGACTGAAATATTTTGATAACTGTTGGTTACATTTTAGGTTTTAGTCATAGGAGAACTTTTCATGAAGAATATTTAATTTTTCTAAAATCAATATTTAAAGTTTTCCATATGGTCTCAACTTCGGGAGGCATACTGTACATATACAATTATTGTCCTATAAAAACTAGTTTCTCTTGACGAATGGAGAATATATGAGTAGAGTATGTTGTATACATTGTAGTTGAAAGTGGTAATAAATAAATTGAAACTTCCTTCAAAATTATGTCACAATATAGAGAGATACAAGTAAATCGTACAAGTCATAAGGTCAGTTGTAATATGACACCACGAAACAGGTTGATGGGAATTTTATTTTTACATTTTTATTCCGTTGTACATTATTGAATCTTTAACATTTGTACGTAGTGACAATCTAGTAAGGTTATCCTTGACATGTAGTAGTGAAAACTATGTTAAAATTCGCTTCAGACATAAATCTGTCTTCAGGTTATTTATCCACTCAATATTCCATTGAGAAATGAAGAAAATAGAGTGACACTGCTTTGGGATAATTTGTTTTTCAAGGAAATTGTTCAAAAGAATCTTTACAAAAAATTAAAAAACAGTTCCATAAGCTTTTGTAATATTCAAAAGTTTTTACTCTTGTTGAACAAAAATCTTTCATTTCAAAAGTCAATATTATCAGATAATTCTCCCAGTCTAAAATTCTTTTTTCAAGATTTAGCAAAGGATTTTACCAGACAGTTTCACCAGATGGGAATTAAAAAAGACCCAGATGTCGACTTAAACGAAAAGACAATTTTAAAAAATATTCACTGTATCAAGATTGATACAACTTTAGAACTTCTAGCATGTTTGACTTACTTACGACAATATCTTGTGGATAAAAATGTAAGACTGACTCGGATTTTGATTGCAACATCTTTGTTAATATTCACTTTTTCAGATACGATTGATAGTAATAGACAGTGTGTCATATCTCTTAAGGCAACTGGATGTATCAAATAGGATAGTGGTGATAAGTAAAATTTTTCTGGAATTGAGGGTCCTGGCGGAACATTTCAATTTCGCAGTAAGTTACATGAAATGCAATGCAGTTGAATTCAACTAAAACATTATCTCTTACACGAAACTTGCAATTTTTCTTCCAATATGCGTTTTGAAAAACGAGAATTAAAACTTCCTATGTTTTTATACCATTTGTATTTGTAACTAACGTTACTGCAGTTTCGTCCTATAAGTACATTTTCATACAAATACAGTTTATTGTGGTCATATTCTAGAGAGCAACATTTTCCTATTCAAATATTTTGAATGTTTTTTTAGGTTATATTAACAAATGATTTCACGACCAGAGTTGATGGAGAGGTTACTTTGGTGACGCCATCTTTTGGAGACAGCTTTTATCATCTTGTGAATTCTAGAATAATTCTTTCAAAAACCGGTGTTGCTTTTCGGGCCAAACTGGTTAAAAGTATATTTTATGGCTGCAAAGAAGTAGAATTCAATATATAGTTGAACTTGTTGATTGCATTATTTTTTAAAACACTTGTTGATAACATTTGTCAGGTCCTTTCAGTGGCTTATCGGCTACAGTGAATGTTAGACGTTTTAATAGATGAATTCATTTGATTCTTGTTTAATTTTAGTCCAGATGTTTGTTTATAATAACTTCATTTGTTTCTTATTTTGTGTAGTGTTCTTGTTTCACAAATTTCATTATTTTAACGTTTGTTTGAAGGTGATTGACAATGTTTCAGGATGAATTTCACTAGTTCGGACTTCTTGCAAGAATTCTATAATGATGAATTCACGTGACAAAATGTGCATATTTGAATTTAGGTTATATAAGTTTTTTGTTTATATTCTTGTTTGGATATAAATGTTTGATTGTCTGGTGCAATGGGTGTGTTTATTTATGTAATATTATATATAAGTATATATGTTTATAGGTTGTTCACGTGAAGAAGATAATGACTTCACAAGATGACAAGTTATGGCGTTGCCAACATGTGGACTATTTAGAACTTTCAAATTTTTTTGTACATGTTGATATGTTTTATTGCTATTATCCTTACTTACTTTTAGTATTTGTTGGGACTATTTCCACAATGCTTCAGGCATATTGAATATACGAAGGTCTTATCAAAAGAAATGATTAGTTCTGAAAAGAAAAGAAAGACTGACAGTTTTCGAGTTTTTTCGATTCGGCAACGTCTGAAATTTTACTAGCAGTTGAGCAACTTACAAAATAAAATGTTACTAGTTTAATTGCTGTTGAACGCATTTCAGTGGGAATTTTAACGTTGTTATGTTGGATATACAAAATTACCAAAAATGACGTCATTCTCTTCTTAACATGAACAGCCTATATATGACTATTATGAGTGTTGATAATATTTTTAAACAAATCTGTACACAACCATGTTGATACAAAATTTCGACGTTGAACTATAGACTATAGTGTATGTTCTAATTTTACTTTTGTGTAGGTGTTTTTATATTTCATACTTACATTTATATTTATTTTTTAAAAGCTTTGTCCACAAGATTTACTCTTGATGATTATTATAACCCTTGTTGAAAAAAATTATTAGATCACTAAACCAGTTAAATTTTAATAATAACCTTAATTTCAAAATAGGACCATAATAACATGAAAAGAAATAGGACAAACCATTCTGAAAACACATCGTTTGCATTTCATCTGATATAAAATGAACAGATCTTAACGATATTGAATTTTTTAATTGTTCTTCCATCACTTGTTTATAATATCAAAATTGCTTTTACTTACCCCATATATCTTCAATATCGAGTTTCTGATAAACAGTAGGTTAGCACTAGGGATTTCAGTACCATAATAAATAGTAAGAGCAGAGAATGTTTTGCTAGGGTTTTTACTAGAGATGACACGGATATCCGATAGTTATCCTCCTCAATACTATCCGGCGAACACCTGATAACTAGCGCTTACCGGCCGAATACCGGATTAATTTTTTTTAGGTAATTGATTTAGTGTCCGACCGAAAGTTCGGTTTCCGACGAGTTTCGGCAAAAAAATGAGTTTCGGTGGCAAACCTGCCGAAACGACGACCGAAACTGAAATTGCATTCGGGAGTTCCCGCGCTGTGATCGGTCATGTTCGACGCGTTGAATTTCATACAAGCGACGAAGACATTTTGCCGCGTCTACGTGCCTAATCATGTCATGACTCGTAACTTACTTTGTGATTTACTTTGTTCATTACATAAATATTAAGTACCTATTGTGATATTAGGTAACAACTTAAATAAGTTGTTTGATATTTTTGAAAAACCATCAATAATATTCAAAATAAGGATCTACACCTACTCAAATACACACCTATTTTAAGTATTTTTAAGGTGCAATTAATATTTTCTCTTAAATAAGGGTTTGTTATGTTGATTATCAATAAGTAAAAATGTCGAAGACTGCATAACGTTGTGATTTAAAGATAAAAAATAAAGACTGACTGATTATAATGTTTTCTTTATTTTTCCCTCAAAACATAATCCTTGTAAGGAAGTTTCGGTTTCGGCCGAAACTGAGACCGTTGTCGAAATTCGTTTTCGGTCGTAAAAACCAGTTTCGGTCGGTCACTAAATTGATTGCTTTATTTAGTTGGTATCACTTGAGAAATACAATCAGTAGTCACACAATAGTTCTACAACTTACAAAATTAGTTAGTACTCATACTGCACTAAGGCAAAATTATAGTAGATGAATACTAATATCTCTGCACTAAGAGCTAGTAAGCGGTTTCGCTTGTCTTCATAAATAAGGCCAGTTTCAGAAAAAAGTCTTTTGTTGTACACGCTGCTGCAAGGTGCTGTTAACTTCGCTTATCAACGAAAATATCTCAATTGGACAATAGGGTTATCGTTCGCGCATGCGCAAGCAAGCGTGCTTTTTTCAACCGAATATCAAGGTTGACCGAATATCCGGTATTCGGCTAAACTGCTATTCGTTTCATCTCTAGTTTTAACATCAAACGATATATCATTTTTAGTGAATCTGTATTTGGCATTTTGAGTATTTCATAACAACTATCAGATATTCATGAAAAGTCTGCATCACAAATGGACTAACAAATGTTTTATAATTACAAAAACAGTGGGTACAAGGTTCCTTTTATGCTTATTCATATATTTATATTGTATATTTTCGATAATTTATGGCAGATCTACAATTTTACATACTAAAACTGCCACCTTCGTCACTTCCATAGAAATTTTACAACAAAACGTTATGATAAGGTGCCACCAAATATGTACATAACATTGAAGCTCCACAAAAACACCAGCATTTGAATTATATCATATTTCGCGTTAGACCTAGTCCTCATGAAGACTCCTGTGTTGGTTCGCAGTGCAAGCCTAGGACAAAGCGCCATAATGGAATATACGACAATCCGAATTATAAACTTCTTGGCCAAACTCTGCTCGAATGGTGTCCTTTGAAAGTCTGACATCTTAATTCATTGTTTTCTTTTTCGGAATGATTCTGTTAGCCCCGAGGAATTCTGTAAAAAAATACGAAGAAGTATAAAGCTGTCATTTTGGACTGCACATGAGGATATTATCTTTTTTTTTTTTTTCGGTGGGGTGAATTCTCTTAGACAGCTTATATTACAGCTACAACACCGCAATCGACATGAATCACCTTAATAATTTTAGTAGTAATACCTCGTATATGAGCAAAGGATGATCAAGCCAAGGTCTTTTCCAAAGCGATGGTAGAAAAGACCTTGAAGAAGAATTCAATTAAATTTGAAACATTGACAAGAAAACAA